ACAGGAATGGAATGCTAACTTATCTCCATATGAATTGCTAATAAGCCCATCATGGTCGTATGTATTTAAATTATGTCATACATTTATATAATAACAGCAACAACATCAACCCACCACTACCACCTACCTCTTTTATGGCTTTTTTAATTACGAGATCTCAACAAGTACTTGACAGAGGAGGTCAGTATCACTATTTCTGTTTTTCAAGGCAGGAAAACAAGCACAGGAAGATTAAGTGATTTGCACCACGTCACTCAGCAGGTCCGTGTCAAACTGGGAACAGAATCCGAGTCTCCCATGTCCAAGCTCTGTGCATTAGACTGCCTGGTCTCCTCTGCCATAGTGCTGTTATTAGCCAGTATTTGTAACTAAATGTAACGTCCTTTTCTTGTGCAAAAAAATGAGGTTATTGTTGGGGTTTTTTCATGAGACAAAAAACTAGCCCTTTTATGAATCCTAGGAAGGGCAGGGAATGACATCTGGGAGCAGGATGGGCAGAGAGAGCCAAGACTGTGAGGCCCAAGCCCCATGCTGTCACTGCCCCACGATCCCAGGCCTGGCCTTGCCTGCCCACCCCACTCCAGGATGCTGCTCCCCACCTGCCCATGGCTCCATCCTGGTCAAGTGGAGCAGAGCCATGATTCATTTCCTACAACCCCCTGCAACAGGCACTGCTTCTGCGAGCAGAGGCAGGCGGGGAGCAGATTGCAACTCTGCACTGCCACCACCCCATGATCCTGGGTTCTCCATGGAGACAGCTGGGACCCCCACGGGCAGGGTACACATCCAGACAGATTGGATGGGGTCACGGATGGGTGGGGAGCTTCATCCAGGGCTTGGGCTGAGATCTTGGGGTGGTGACAACGTGGGACCAGGGCCAGGTCCAGGGCCAGGGCAGAGCCACGATGTTCCCTGCATGCCCCTGCCCACAGAACCCACACCTGTCACAGGGGCATGTGGGGGAGCAGATTGCAGCTTTCCCCCATCCTTGGTCCTGCACTGTCACCACCCCACAATCCTGAACCATGATCCGGCCTTGCCCACACGTCCTGTTCCCAAACAAAGCTCTCGACCTGCCTGCGGCCCCATCCCATCCACCCAACCACATGCCCTGCTCACATGGGTCCTAGTCCTGGCAGTGGGTGCAGGGTGGACTCACTGGGGTGCCTAGGCAGTGGGGTGGGCCAGGCGGCAGTGGTAGCTAGAAGGAGCCACCGCTGACAGGGCTGCTGGGAAGTGAGTCCAGCTGCTCCGCCGCCCCAGCCCTGCTTTGCACCTGCGGTGGCAGGGCTGGCTGCCCCCTGTACCTGGGCTGGATGGGATCAGGGGACCTACCACAGGCAGAACAAAATCCCTCGGTGGGCCAGATCTAGCCCATGGGCTGTATTTTGCCCACCACTGCTCTACTTGGTTGAGGAAAGACATCTTGATCTACCAAAACAAAGAGGATGCTGTAGCCATCCTTGATGTTTATATACTATAAAGCTTGCAGGTATGAAAGAATCACAGACTTAGAAATCCCTGCCAATGAGCATGTTCACTCAGAATGAGATAGTTAAATATACACTATAGGTAGCATTATTGCCCTAAACACCACCAATACACATCATGCAGCCTAATAGAAAAGTGAGCATCTAAGAAGTTTGTAAGTACTGTGTGATAGTATACTTGCCACCTTCAGGCCATCAGGAAACATGTTTTAATAGGAGTTGGTTTGGCCTTAACAGTATTTTGAAAGACCCTTCTGCTGAGTTTCTCCCCTGGCAGCTGTAGGTATTAATAAGGGAAAAAATATGCACTCAACTAGTTTAGTGTCTCCCTAGTGATGGTGCTACTGGGATTGTTTATAATATATGAAGGAAACATAAGGCAAATGGTACAGTGTTTAAGGCCAGGACTAGAGTGTCCAAAATGACTGGGGGATGAGTTATTTCTCATGTCATTAATCCCAGCACTCAACAATAGGCCATTTCAGATCATCCACAGATGAACAAGACCTCTTAGATCATCCAGCCTGTTTCCCAGCCAAAGCACAATGGTTCCCGACAGAGTATTTTCTAGTGTTTTGTCCAGTCTAATTTTAAATATGCCAGGAGCCTTGGAGCTTAATGCTTCCCCAAGGAAACTCTTCCCTATCCTAATAGATTTTGATTAATAGATTCTATAACCTCTGAAATAACAATTAGATTATAAAGCCTATAAATAATGCAGAACTTTCTTCTGTGCTGGTCTGTGTTTTGCAAACAAATGTAATCTGACTGACACCCAGGCCACAGGGATATCTGGCGCACAGGTTTAGCAAAGACTAGGAGCAAGTGAAGAAAACACAACTCAGGGAATTGGTACTCCCCGAGGCTCTGACAGCATCATAAACCACTCCAGCAGTTACCATGGTGATGTGTATGCATGGGCATGTATCCTGAGAGCTTTCTGTTGTCTCTATTTTCCCTGTGCCTAATTGACATTGGAGGGTTGGGACACAAGTATAGAATATATCAGGAACTATGCAAAGGATATGGTCCTGAAATCCAAAAAATAAAAAAAAAGGAGGAGGAAGGGCCTTAACAATTAGGAATTTAACTGCCAGAGGAGTGTGGGAGCATCTAGAAGTGAATGGAGCAACAGTGACCCTGTGTGGTTATGCTGCCAAGGTGAGTACCCACCTAAGGATCCAACTAGGGGGATCCTTTGTTCCTGGTGCCTGTTAAAAATAGTCTTATTAAAACAAAGAACAGCATCTTCTAAACTCATTCTCTCCGCAGTTCCTTGCTGTGCTGTGCATGACATGCCACATACAGTATATGGCTCTCACGAGTTGAGTACTGTTTCCCTATACATATTGGAACGCAGCAGTACAAAATCAAGTGCACATCAACTCCCTGCTGTTTACAACATCTGTTAATAAGAGTGTAATGGGCATCTGCACTGAATCCCAACTCTGAGTCTTTACCTATCTGACACTTCTCAAATGGCACCGTTCATCTTCCCCACAGGAGGAACCAATCAGGCATCTCCCCACTTATTTACCTTACAAGGCAGGGAGGAAATCACCCCATCACAACATGCCACAACACTGATCATGCAGCAGGTCGGGGCTGACAGAGCCTCACCATCTGGCAGGAGGCACTGCAGAGTAGAAGCCTGAAATAAGGCAGCTAGTGGACAACAACACAATACCTTTAAAGTCTCCCCTGTAGAACCACATCTTTTTTTGATGGCTCCCACCACTAACCTACTACTTAGACTTACGGCCACACTTGCTGTGGGAGATGTTCAGTGGAGAGACCGTTCTTTTTGTTGTGTGTTTGTACAGTACTAAGCAGGGTGCGATCTCAGCCCAAGACAAGGACTTCGAGTTGTTGCTCAATAAACTTGGCAGATAATTTTCTACAAGTTAATTTTATGCATCTCTTTAACCCCCAATTCTTTCTTCCATCATTCTGTGTGCCTCAGTGACTAACCTTGGTACCTTACTAATATTCTCTGCTCATGTCTCCCTGCTGTCACCCACCCACCCCCTGCCCCCAGCTGGCTGCCTAGTGTTTCAATACCCTGCCTTGTGTCGCATCTACGATTAGTTTGCAAAAACCTTGAGGCAGGAGTTTTGTCAGCTCTCTATCTGGGGAAGTATCCAGCACACTTTTGGGGCCTGTGTAAAACCATGACTGATGTCTGAACACCGTGTCCTTCTTTTGCTTGGCTGGGTTAAATTAGGGAGCTGGATGTGCTGCTACAGGAAAGAAGTCTTAATCAGAAAGCCAGGCAAATCCATAGTCACTGATCCACATGCACCTTCCAGGGAGGGCTTCACTGTGTGCATGCAGGTGTGCCAGGCACTCCAGATGGCAATTAACTATCCAAGTTTCTTGTCTGCTGACAAGGACGGGGAGAACAGACCTGACTGTTGTGAGCCGGGACTATATTTACTGATGGGCTTAACAATTTGCATGAAGCCACTCTGTGACCAAATGTGCCACGTATTTTTGTTTCCCATTTTCATCCCCACTCCCTTCACTCACCCTCTGGTCCCCCAACCCATTTGTTTCTCTTCCACCTACAAGAAATGGTTGTTTAGACCCATAACTTCATTGGGGTAAAGATTGCAATTGAGTCTTGTCTATAAACCCTCCTAGCACAATGTGGCCTCAATCAATGTGCTTGAGCACATACAACATTAAAGGTTTACTAATGATGATCAGCATTTAAGAATATCATAGTTATGATAGTTATCATAGAAGTTATATCACCAGTGACTGTAAGCATTCCCACTCATGATTTAAAGGCCATATATGTTCAGATGAACAGAACTTGTAATAGTATCTGGCCTGGGATGACTCCTGATAACAACACAGCTGATCATCTGTGGCAGGAGTCAGCAGTAGCTTTTGGTCCCTGTTTCATTTGGCTCTTGGCCTGAATCATAGAATCACAGAAAATTAGGGTTGGAAAGGCTGTCAGGAGGTCATCTAGTCCAACCCTCTTCTCAAAGTAGGACCAACCCCAACTATATCATGCCAGCCAAGACTTTGTCTAGTAGGGCGATAAATGTCTGTTACCTAAAAGAGACAGATACAATTTACACACATCACACAGAACCTGTTTGTGAACAAGCAGTTTATAGGTTTTATGACCCAAGGGCTTTGCCTGCACTGTTCTGCTGAGTTGGGCCTGAGACTCAAACTTAGATGGAGATCCAACCTTGGCCCCAAACAGGGATGTTTCCATCTATGGTGATGTTTTGGGGCTAACTCCATTTTTAAGATTTGATATATCTCTCTGAAGGTCTGGGTAGCCAAGGATCTAGGGCTAGTATCAGATACCACTTAAGCCACTGGAATTTGTAGCAAGTTTTGTCTTATTAAACGACTCCTCGAGAGATTTTCAGTGCTGTGCTTCCATTCAAGCCAGAAATGCCATGGAACTGGCCCCACCAGTAATCCAGTCTTGTCTATAAACCCTCCTAGCACAATGTGGCCTCAATCAATGTGCTTGAGCACATACAACATTAAAGGTTTACTAATGATGATCAGCATTTAAGAATATCATAGTTATGATAGTTATCATAGAAGTTATATCACCAGTGACTGTAAGCATTCCCACTCATGATTTAAAGGCCATATATGTTCAGATGAACAGAACTTGTAATAGTATCTGGCCTGGGATGACTCCTGATAACAACACAGCTGATCATCTGTGGCAGGAGTCAGCAGTAGCTTTTGGTCCCTGTTTCATTTGGCTCTTGGCCTGAATCATAGAATCACAGAAAATTAGGGTTGGAAAGGCTGTCAGGAGGTCATCTAGTCCAACCCTCTTCTCAAAGTAGGACCAACCCCAACTATATCATGCCAGCCAAGACTTTGTCTAGTAGGGCGATAAATGTCTGTTACCTAAAAGAGACAGATACAATTTACACACATCACACAGAACCTGTTTGTGAACAAGCAGTTTATAGGTTTTATGACCCAAGGGCTTTGCCTGCACTGTTCTGCTGAGTTGGGCCTGAGACTCAAACTTAGATGGAGATCCAACCTTGGCCCCAAACAGGGATGTTTCCATCTATGGTGATGTTTTGGGGCTAACTCCATTTTTAAGATTTGATATATCTCTCTGAAGGTCTGGGTAGCCAAGGATCTAGGGCTAGTATCAGATACCACTTAAGCCACTGGAATTTGTAGCAAGTTTTGTCTTATTAAACGACTCCTCGAGAGATTTTCAGTGCTGTGCTTCCATTCAAGCCAGAAATGCCATGGAACTGGCCCCACCAGTAATCCAGCACCTTCACTAGAACCTGGAAGTCCAGAAGCAGCAGAAGCTAACAGAATTGCTTCTAACCTCAGAAAAGGCTCATTTGGGGTCCTGGTGTGGTATGGAGGCAACATATCCTCTGCATGCTTTTCCAGCCCCACATACTCTAAATGTTCCTCTGAGTCATGGTGCACTAGGGTGGTGCACTAGGTCTGCTGGCACCTCTGAGGAGGATGGATCAGGGATGTTATTCATAAATCTCTTTTCCAGCAGCTTATTACTCAGCCATTAAAATTAGATTAGAACTGATACAGCTTGCAGAGAAGTTTGATCAGGGAACAAACTGCATCTAAGGCCTTGTCAAAGTTTTAACTAACTCAGTTTAAGGATCCAAGTCAAATATTGTACTTAACCAAAGTCAATTAGAAATGGGGTAGAAGGAATCCCAGGCTCAGATGTTTTTTGCTTACCATCAGATGGACTGTTGTCAGTCCTGTTCTATAGAATAAAGCACATCATGCTTTTTTACATATTTATGAACCAAGATATTAACAGTTAAGAAACAGCTAACAGACAGAGTCAAGTTTCCATTGATATTGTACCAAATTCATACTTTCATATGACACCAGAAGGCAGCAAGTCTCTCCAGTTAACAATTAAACAGTAGTTATCAAACAAGCCAGAACTGATTAATTAGGACTAGGACATGCCTTTTTTTAAACTGTAAAATCAGAAGCATGCAACAGATTAGGAGAAGCTCCTGTCCCCTTCATCCCACCTGAACCCATTTGTTTATACTTCTGCCAGTGTGTTTTAACTTTTAAACATATAGGGACAGAAAGGCTCAAGAGATCCATTATAGAATATGCAGATTTTTGTTCGAGTCACCATTTCAGATCCAGCCCTTGACTGGAAGCTGTTATCATTGAATGGCTGCTAAATAGATGGGTATTCCTGTATCCATCACTCCCTTGGTGCTATACAAAATAGTGGAGACAATATGGTCATTGCCTGAAGGATCTTCCAACAAATGAGCAGATGGTCTCAGGCCAGCTACTAATGGGTAGCATCAGGTACTGTTGTTTTTCTCCCTCTCAGTCCTAGCAGGGGCCACAGAGAATAGGCTGTGAAGAGTGATATGCCTTCTTCTCCTGGGACTTGCTAAGAAATAAGTTATGCTTGTGAAGAAGGGCAAGAGGTGAGTACTGCTCTTCTCCAACCACCTTACCCATTTACTGTTTGTAGCTAACATGGAGGGCTCCAGTCTGACAACTTCTATCAGTTCCAAAATTCACACGCCTCATGTAAATCACAAGTCTGATTGCAGCTTCTAATTCCAGCTGAGAGAGCATGATAAGCAACAGTACAACTTCCCAGGAAACTGATTTTTAAAAGTAAAATAAGACCATTAAATAATTACATTCATCTAAGGTCACACTCCAGAGGAAAGATCAACTACTGTACTCTTTACCCTATTGTACCATCTTTCCTTTCCTGGTTAAAGGCAGGAGGGAAAACCAGCCCTTTTCTTTTCTTTGTTTTTCTCCTTCAGATTTTGCTTTGTTCTGCCACAGCCCTATGGACTCTGTCTCCACTTAACAGTCACTAATAGGAAGAGGTCAAAGTACTAAAATATGAGGGTAGAAAACCAAGATGATCTAAAGCAATTAAACCTGATTCTTTTCTAACACCACACTCTGGGCCTTTCAGCACACTGAGGGAGCTCGTTCTTTTTCCTTCAGCTTCTGTCCTCAATACCTTTTATGTGGTTTGTTTTCAAAATGGCGAACATGCCTTTCAGAGGTCTAACGCAAGCAAATGCAAACAGCACAGATGAGCAATAGATGGCAGCAATACACATATAATTGCTATTCTGTAACATCTTCTTAGCCAGGTGGTCAACACATTATGTCTTGAGCTTTGTAACTCTTCCAGGGTATTACTCTGATCCCCCCTTACTATCGGTGCTTGAGGTAGTTCACTAGCACAGGTGGAATCTCCAGCTGATCTATGGCTCGGGCTCTCCTGGCACGTTTCAGAAGCTTCCTGACAGCCAACCTAGACTGAGACATCAGGGATTTGGGATGAGCTGTAGAGGAAAAAGATGACAAACAAAGACTGAGGAATCACCACAAGCTTTCTGGACACAAAACCTCCAAACCTCATGCACCCCCATAAGCAAAGAGAGCATTAGTACTCCACGGATAACCCAGTTTGTTTCTCTCACGCACAAATGCTCTTGGTACACTGCAATATGCACACATTTTGGCTTTCTGCCAGCTGCAAGGTGTCTGGCTACTGCAACCTTTTTAATGAATAAATTGCATCATCGTGCAGCCTGCCACCTGGAGACTGTGTCAATGGGCATGACATTAGACACAATCTCACAGTAGCATTCCTGAAAGCAGATGGGTCTGCATGGTTCAGATTGCATAATGCCAGTGGCCTGGCTCTGTGCTTTGAATGATAATCTGCGCACGGTCTGATCATCGGTGACAATGATGATGGCATTCTGCATAGATGGCCAGAATTTGAATGCTGCTGAGAAACAACCTTTAGCTGTGTGTCTTCTCACCCTTATAACCTTCGTCACACATCTGTGAACTCAGTGAGCCTTCAGCCCGTCACGAACTTGCAGCACATCCATGTCACTACCTACAGAATAATCTGCTTGTTCAGCAAACCACTTTTTTGACACAGATTTTCAAATTCCAGCTTTTCTCAGTGCAGAAAGCATGTAAGAGGCACAAGACAAGGTCCTTCCTATGGCCAGGGTACTGTACATGTTAAATGATAAGCTTAGCTCTAGGTGTGTCATGGGAGCTGTACCTACCTAGGCACTTTTTGGGACATTTCCCATTGTTTCACTGGTACAACTACATCTTTGCTGGAGATGAAAACATCAGTAGACATTGGTCACCATTGTGCCACCTAAACCTACTGAGAACAAGGCTGTGGTCACCTAAACCTACTGAGAGCAAGGCTAGAGGTTTCATTGGCAATGACAGCTGAGCACTATAAACGCTCATGTTCCCACAGTTACTAAGTGTGGAGGAGCTGCATCAATGGTGAATTATACCTTTGAAGAGAACACCCATGGGATGAAGTTACTAGGTCTATCTGCTCTCCTTCTTTACCTACATTCTGCTGTATCAGCTTCTGGAAGATTAAATGTTCACTGTCCCTACGCAAGATTTTTTATTAACCTCAAGCCAACGTAACTTTGCTTTTACTTTGACTCCTGCCAGTAAGGGGTAGGGGAAGGAGGTCCCTGAGAATTCATTTGATTTGAATCCTGATCACATTGGAGCACTTGGACAGTCACTCCTATTTTGTCCCTCACCTTCATCCCCCGTGGCTGTAACAACTCTTGCAGTCAACAAACTTGGGCGGAAGCAACTGAGATTTCCTGACCAAGCTACACTTGTAGAGGAAAGGAAGGTAGCCTTGACTCAGGCCTGATACATACCCTGTGAGCTGAGTATTTTAGTGGGAGAAGAAAGGAAAGGAGCTAAATAGTCCTGAAAGGAGAGGTGCCTTGTGGAAAAGTGACTATAGGCTCATTAGTTAACATCCCACTGCGGGAATGTTAGGAGCTGATGATTTGTGTCCTATGTAACCTGCACTGACAGCAATATCAGCTGGAGTAAATGTCACAATTAATAGCATAACAACACTTTCCCAGGGTTTAAGACAGGGAGTAAAGAATATGGCACCCAAAATTTTAGGGGGAACAAATTACTGCAAACCCTTTTCCAAATTGATGGCAATTGGTTTGTTCGGGGAGATGAATAAAAAATGATCATTGCCAAGTAGTTTATGGGTAGGGACCTATTTAATTTGCAGCTTCACAAATTTCATGGAAACCATGAAATCTGGAATTGTCCATGAAATCTACTAAATGAACAAAAAAACTTAATAAAAATAGAATGCTGGCTCCTCAGTGGGAGCCAGCAATCCTTGCTGCCTGGAGGGGAAAGAGCTGGCTGGCAGGGCATCAGACAATATGATGGCTGCCCTATCATCCCTCCTCCCCCCAGGACCTCCCTGCCAATCAGTGCTGAAGAGCGGGGCCTCTCTGCCAACCAGCACCAAGGGGTGGGGCCTCCGTGAAATGACTGTGGAATTAGAATTTTATTCTGCAAGAAACCTGTGAAAATTGTTAAGTCCCCCCACGATCGAGGTAGACCCCTATTTATGAGTAATACAAAAGTTTTCAAATGGATAGCTGTGCACACAGATTACCTCTTTCCCCGACCAGCAGTTCCAGACCCTCAGTCTTCGGTGAGATCTTATCTACTGCAATGTTAGGTAAGTACACATTGGCTCCAAAATCAATGAGCAATCTTATGAACTCACTCCCACAGCTATGTCTCAGGCAGATTTCAAGCAGTGTCTTGGGCCGCTTGATGCGTGCAATCATTTTCTCATCAGTGCAGTTGTAATCGGGGTCAGCTCCATAAAGTAACAGCATCTTAAAACATTCCAGGTGTCCATAGACGGCAGAGAGGTACAAAGGGCCAGAACAAGCGGCAGTATTGGCAGCCCAATCTGGGACCCTTGATTTAACATTAGCTTCTGCCCCATGGTCTAAGAGTTCCTGGAGAATACTGAGGTCTCCATCCCGAGCAGCTGTGAGCAGGGGAGAACAGTTATTGTAGATGCTGCCAGAAGGACAGGCCCCTGCCTCCAGCAGGGCTTTCACACAGTCGAGGTGGCCATTACTAACAGCAGTGAACAGCGGAGTCTGTGCCTTAACATCCAGGCTGTCCACCTCTGCTCCGTGAGCCAGGAGAACTCCTAAACTTCTTAGGTGGCCCTTAGATGCTGCTAGGCGAAGCAGAGTCCCAGGAACACCCCAGCCACTTCTGCTGTTGATAAATCTTTTGTATCTGTCTTGGCACAAGAGTTTATCTACAGTTTGGTAATCATCTTGGGACACCGCTTTGTTCAACTCTTGCCTCTCTCCATCATCATCTTCATCTTCGCAGGGCTGGAGCATGGAGAAAATTTTGGTTATGTCTATGAGACTCATTGTTTGTTTGTCTCCTAAGCACGACTTTCATCATGAGCTGTAATGCATGAGATCTGTGGAACAAAAGCAGGATTCGTTCAGAAAAGCAGTCTCATTCTCCTCACACTCAAGTGGGGGGACATAAAGATGAAGTCATCGATCACATTACATCCTTTGTTCCTCACGCAGACATGTTCATTCTTATACCTGATAGATCCCAGGAAACTGGAGTTTTAGGACAAAAAGATCTAAACCAATTGCTAAGATCTAAACCAAAAAGATCTAAGCCAATTGGTTTAGATCTAAAAAGATCTAAGCCTGTTGCTTCAGTGTAAGCATGGACCACAAGGCCTCAAAGCAACACCTATGTAGGTGTTCAGAAAGCAACATTCCCTGGGGCATTGGCCACCAGTTATAACCATGGTTTCTACAGTGATTGTTTGAGGTGAGAGGAAGAAGACATTGGATTAGGGCTGGGGCTAGGATTTGCAAGACCTGGGTCAGGACAACCCTGTGGTGTGACTAGGGGAGGTCACTTATGAACAAAAATTTGGCATCTAAAAGGTGAACAAGGAGGCTGGCTTTTCATGAATGCTCAGGACTCCCCAGCCCCCATGGCTGTTTATGAGAGTGGTCGAGTACTGAGCATCTATGAAAATCAGTCTCCTTCCCCTTCACCTTGCCTCAGGTAACACCGTCAGTCAAATGGGAAGATGTTCAGCCACTTTCCCAAGCACGTTGAGATCTAAAGAAAATGCTCAAGTAGGCTGGAGAGCCAGACCCATTGCTGATGCTTACTCAGGAGCAGATACAGCCACCTTGCTCATTTTTTTTCCCTTGCAATTTGGAATGGACTGGAAAAGTCACAGGGTTTGGTTCAATTAATTTATACTGAAAAATGACTTGTGGAGCTAATGGAAACAGACAAATCCAATTATGGGTTTTCAGAAAGGCAGGAAGGGTCTTTCTGTACTAAACATACAGGCGTCTCACTATCCAATATATCTCCCTTCTCAGCCTTTCCTCCCCCACCCTGAAGCAGGGCAGCAGGAGAAAAGGGTGGGGATGGGGAAAATCTTCTTCACCTCTGACCAATTGTTTCTTTTTGCACAGAACCTGTAACGAAGTCAAATAATCGGAGTTGCAAGATCAGTCCAGATCTGGTTGCCAGCCTCTGCAAGAATACATAATGCTCCAGAGGAATGTGCAATCTCCCAGGCTGCACCTGACCCGCTGCGAAATGCTAGAAGGCAGGGACGGGCTACAGGAATTCCTGACACATTCCCTTCCCCAAACATCGAGGGACTCCTCCCGCAGAAGCCACCTCAAGGGACAGCCCTTGCCATTCCTACCCCTAAAAGATGTGTCAAATTCTTTCAGAAGAAGCTGAAATTCTCTGTTCCTCTAGTTAGTTGTATCGTGAAACCAATAAATACACTTCCAATAAGAGTGCTAAGAAGCATTTTTCCAGCTATTTGAGTTGGTCTAATAAAGATACTGGATTTACCCAAAGAACCTTGTCTGCCTATGTCCTTAGACCAGGGGTTTTCTACCTTTATGGATCAGTGTACACCTGGCAGCTGGATGCAAAGCAGGGGTGAAGGGGTGGCATGTGGCCAAACATGGAGTGGCAGGAGCCGCCCCTGCCCCCCACGTCCAGCCAGGCAGGCAGTGCCTGCACAGCAGTGCGGGATGGTGCATGGCAGCGCTCCATCCCTGCCTGCCCATGTGTACCCCCTAGGGCCTTCTCAACCCCTGCCTTAGACCGACATGGCTACAACCTACACCCCTTCCAATAAGAGTGGCACTTACCGCAGAAAGAGGCATGTTAAAGGACATACACACTAGCTTTGGACAAATGATATATACACCTACCACAGGCAATGAAGTGTATCTGTCCCTAAAACATCATTTTAGCAGCAACATTTTCTGAATTTGTTAGGCAGATTTTGTACACAAAAATCTATTGAGCCTGAATCTATTCAACTGGATGAGCAAAAGCCAAAGCAACGGTCAATAAAATAATGAAGCCCTGGACCTAACAGAGAAACAACATTACTTATAACTTATTTTCTTTTAAGCAAGTCTCGACTTGAAAGGAAAGCACAGCTATACTTAAAAGGAAGATACTGAAAGTAAAGGACGGCTGTAATGATTATTAAAACCAGGAATCAGCGTCTACATAGTGACACTCCCTTCACCTTGTAAACACCAGAGTAAAAAGCATATATTTCACATGATCACTGATCAAAATAGCCACTTGATGCCAGACACTGAGACAATCCCCTAAAGCAAAACATCGGCTCATTTGACAGTCAAAAGAAAAGGGGCTCGGGTCAAAACTAACAGGCTCTGTTTAGAACAGCAGGAAACATACTCACAAACTGAAAGCTGAGGTTGCCGAATTACCTTGAAGTTGCCAGAGTTGCCTGGCTATCATTGTGTGGCTGTCTGACCTTTGTGAGGTAGCCAGCGCTCACCCAATGCTGTGCAGGAGGCTGCTCTCCCAAGGCTAATTCTCCTCCGCCTTGTGCAGAAGGGAGACAGTCCTCCAAGAAGAAGAAATCTCCTCCAAGAGGCGAGGTATCAAGCTCTGTGTGACTGGAGAGAGGGAGGCCATCAGGAGCACAACTGAAATGCCAGGGGCAGGGAGAAGGGCCAGGGCTTGCAAGCTAATTTTAGCCCCACAGGCATTTTATCTTACTACTTCCATTCTTGGAAAGTTCCCACTGGGATGAGTATATATAGACGGGGGTGGGAGGAGGTCTAAGCTAGAGGGGGAAGCAGACAGGTGCTTCTCCAGGGGGTGAGATGTGGGGTAGTAGACAGAGCAGACACACGCACATGACATTTGTGTTATTTTTTCCCATCCAGAGTCAGTCACATTTACCCAGATTCACTCATGTGTTTGTCCTAACACTCGTGATGCTGGTCACTTCTCTGCCTGGGGCTGGCATCTTCCTTCCTACTCTCAATTACACCCACACTGGTCTCTGGGATTTGCAGTGCTCTCTAAATCTTGCCTAATTCTTCCCAAACTGATGTTCTCCCAGCCTGTATCCCCTTCTCCAAGGCCTTTTTCACCTCCAGAGAAATATGAATTATGGCTAATGATTCCCAGCACTTTGGCTTATTCCTGAATTATGGAGAGACTGAGCTACTTGCTGGCTACTCCAGGATGCACTGGGTGTAAGAGTTTGAAGTTTTGTGATGCCTGGTTACCAGATTATGGACAATCAGGCAGATTTGCCTTTCCTCCCCAACCTACCACCTCTTTTATTTTACAAAACTAAACAACTTGCAGTAAGGCAAAAAAGCTTCTGTGTGCCTCAGAATAGTGAACAAAACAAGTAGGTGGACTGGTAGTGTTTGGGGCTGCCTTATCAAAAGCTGTCAACTGGTAAAAGTGTAATTTTATCTTATCCAGTTCCCTTTAAACATTTTTGCAGACAAGAAGGAATAGTCTGAGTGTGAAGTAGCGTTATCAGTGCTATGAGATACTAAAAGAAATAAACTGAATTATCCAGCAGAAAGATCTCCCATACTGCAAGAGCTAAATCTGGGGGCTCTCTGATAAGGAAGCCTATTAAGCCGTTCACCAGCAGCATACCCAAAATAGTTTATATAGCACGTTGAAGAATGTGAAGTGCCAGGCAATGCTAAGTATGATTAATTAATCAAATCTGCAGTTTGCTGCAGATTGTTTGGACTTCGGTCTCCTGTAATTTTGCCATTTCTAAATGTGCCATAAAGCAGATTCCATTGCTTCAAAATTTTCATTTTTTCCAAAGCTGAGGAAATCATGAGTGAAAGCAATTATGTGGAACAATGTGGACAGAAATATTTGAATAAAAATTGGGAGCACTTAAGAAGGGTTTATTAGATAATAAAGAAGCCACTATCAAGATTAGGATTCTATAATCAAGACAGACAGCTCTGCGTAAAAACCATCCCTGGTTCAATGATGAAGTAAAGGCAGCAATTAAAAATAAAAACAAGCAATATAATACAAATGAAAAGAGGAGATAAAATACAAGTTATGATGCGTAGTACATTGATAAGGGAAGCTAATGATATCAAGGAAAAAACTGTTGGCTGACAGAGCTTGAGACTACAAAAAGGTTTGTTTGATTTTTAAAGTATCTAAAAAATAAAAAGAAATTCTAGCACTGGCATAGGCTTATTACTGGAGATGGTAAAACCATTAATGATACAGGAAATGCATTCAGTATTTCTTCTGCATTTGTAATGATGCATTTATATTATGTAAGAATAAAGCAGTACTTTGCTATAGTCTATTAGTAACTGAAAGATATTAAAAACATTTACATGGGATAAATACTTTTTGGACAGCAAGCATAGGTAACTAAGACTCCCAAATCCCAACAGTTAATTAAGGAGGTATCTGGGCTATCAACATTAGTTTTTAATAAATCTTGGAATACTGGGAAAATCTGAAGACAGCATTTTACCTACTTCTGTGCTAAAACTCAAAAACAGCAAGCAAAATGATAGAGTTATAGACCAGCTAGCATGACAAGATCCACACAAAATAACTACAACACTGATGTGGGAATTCAATCGATGAAAAAGGAAAGGCTAGAAACATAATTAGTAGCAATCAATATGCTTTTATGGAAAGACAGTCCTACCACACAACTGATTTTGTTCTTGGGGAAATACCATTTTGGTTATTAAGGTAATAGCAAAGAGACAATAAACTTTTTATAAGATATTTGACTTACTACTGTAAACAATTCTGATTTTTTTTTAAATTAGCACTGTACAAAATCAACAGAACACACATTACATGGGTTAAGAACTGGCTAGCAGATCTCAGAAACAGCCCCTCAGTGAGGAATTGTAGTTGAAAGGGGTGTTTCAAACAGGGCTTTACAAAGATCAGTTCCATACCCAATGCTATTCAACATTTCCATTAATAATGTGGAAATACAAAGACTAGTAGCAGAGTGAAAAATAGCGAGCAGTCCAGAGCAGCCAGAGCAGTCTGGATCATTTGGTAAGTTAGGTCTATGCAAAGAAAATGATTGCTAAATACAGTCAAATGTAAAGCTGAACCTTCATCTAGGAACAAGGAATGCAGGCCAAATTACTGAATGATCTGAAAAAGCAGTGAGTAAAAATGATTCAGAGGTCATGGCAGACAAACAACCTTTTGCTTCATGGTAGCAAGGGCAGAATTAATATATTGCTATCCTAAAGCTTAAACCTCTTTACCATCTAAATTTAAGGTCAACCTCTGTCTGTGACATTCTGCAGTTCATTCACTAGAGGGCAGTGGTACACAGACTCACTTTTTTTCTGGCCATCCTTCTATCTCAGTGGTTCTCAACCTTTTCAGACTTGAGACACCCCTTGGCAAACTCAAGGCACCCTTCAGAAAATGCCAGCTCTTAGTTTTCACTCTTCTTTTTTAATGAAATAAAAATAATAGAGCAATTCTCTTGTGACAAAGAACTCAAAAAGACCACAACAGATCAGGATGTTTTTAACATGATAGATTCTTATTTGAAAACCCTGGGTTTATCTTGTGAATCCTGTTTGCACATGTAACGGTGCTAACCCTGCAATACCTTTAAAACGATCTGCAGGGTTGAGCATGCTGGTTGAGAATCATTATGTTCTATCTATATTTTAAAGCCTCACTAGCTACAAAGAGCTCTTAAAGTATTAATTGTATTGTAAAGTATCTCATCTACTAGATTTTTATTTTAAACCAGGGGCACTCAGCCCACAGGTAAGATCCAGCCCCCATGTGCAATGTCATCTAGGCTAGGTACAGGCAGTCAAAAAGCCTGAGGCTGAATTGATTCAGTCTTTGCAGGTTAGTTTAAGCTGCACAGATTAAATTGAAACAGGTAAACAGACATTTACTTTTGATTCAGGAAATGCAGCCATGTGCCTGCAGTGGCTCAAGCCAGAAGCTGGGGGGCAATAAAGCAGGATCGCTGGCTGTGTGTTCACTTCCTCTTCCTGTTGCCCCTGAGGTCTCTGGGATTTGCAGTCCAGAATCACAGACGTAGGACTCTGCAAGGCTGCTCATCATTTCCTCTTCCTGCTTCCAGGTGCCTTTGGGATTTGCAGCCAGCAGTAAATCTGAGTGAGGAAGGGATGTTTAACCCACCTCCCTGGCCCCAGACCCCAGCCGGGGTTTGCCAGAGTGGGGAGGGGACAGTCACCCTCATAGACTGGGCTGCATCCCCAGCCAGGCTTACCCCCTCCCCCACCCCCTTGTCAGCCAGCCCTCACCACTATGGCTAGGGAGCAGAGGGACGGGGCCAACCCTGCTCTCTGGAGCGGACAGCACAGCCCAGCTCAGGACTGCAAAGCATGCTGGGGGACTCTGATTTAACTTGAACCAGGAAGGGGTCTGGGACAGAAGTTTCATAAACCGGTTTGACCCCAAATCATAAATTAATTCATAGATTCCTAGACTGTAAGGCCGGAAGGGACCTGGGAAGATCATTGGGCCCAGCCTCCTGCACCAGCAGGAAAGATAACTGGGGGTCAGGTGACCCCAGCAAGGTGACTGTCCAGTCTCCCCTTGAAGATTTCCAGGGCAGGTGATTGTACCACCTCTGAAGGGAGCTTATTCCACAGCCTGGACACCCTAGTTGTGAAGAAGTTTTTCCTAATGTTGAGCCTGAATCAGTCTTCCAGGAGTTTGTGGCCATTACTCCTAATTTTCCCCAAGGGTGCCCTGGTGAACCGTTATTCACTGAGCCCTTTATGTACACCTCTGATGTAGTGGTAAGCTGCTACCAAGTCCCCTCAGCCTTCTCTTTCTCAGGCTGAAGAGTCCCAAGTCCCTCAGCCTTCCCTCGTATGGCTTCTTGCGCAAGTCTCTGATCATACGGGTGGCTCTTCTCTGGACTCTCTCAAGCTTTTCCACGTCCTTGTTAAAGTGTGGCGCCCAGAAGTGGATGCAGTACTCCAGCTGTGGTCTCACCAGTGCTGAGTAAGGTGGGAGAATCACTTCTTTGGTTTTGCTGGAGATGCGTTGATTTGATATATGCCAAAGTATTGTTAGCCCTGCTGGCTACAGCACTGCACTGCTGGCTCATGTTCATACTGTGGTCTGTTATTACCCCCAGGTCCCTTTTCATTTGCCGTGCTAGTCAGGTTGGCGTTGCCAAACCTGTATGTGTGCAGGGGATTGTTCATCCCCAGATGGAGCATTTTACATTTCTTGATGTTGAACTTTATCTGGTTCTGGTCTGCCCTATTTACCAAGCTGTCTAGGTCCCCTTGTACTTGCAACCTATTTTCAAGCGTGCTCACGCTTCCCCGTAACAGTTAAATCTGATACTACGTTCAACCAGGTTCATCTTAAACCAGTTTCAGCCATTTTGAAACTGGTTTATGTACACTGAGCTTCTGTTCTGTTACAGGTTTAAACCAGTTTCTGATCACTTAAACTGGTTTATGTGTAACTTCTGTCCCTAGCTCTAGCCCCTGCCCACATATACTGGGAGCCTCCTGGGCCTGATCCCAGTGTGTTGGGCCTGGGTGGAGGCAGCTCAGTTCCAATCCAAGTGCTCAGACCAGCGCTGTGCCATTCACATGGCCCATGGGGCTAAATCTGTGAGCACCACGGTTCTCAACCATAAGAATCAGATCAGT